ACAGTGAACATAAAGTTCCACTATGATCTGAGAGCAATAGCATAATGGTTAAATGCCAGCCTCTGAGCCAAAGATTCCATATCCAACCTTGGCTAATCACCTAAGCTACTTATGCTAAATAAGCATGGGCTGTTGCTTCCTCTCTACACCTAGATTTCCTTATCAGTAAAATAATTATAATAGCTGCTACCTTACAAGATTGTTGACAGGATTAACATAAGAATAAATTTTAAGTGTTTAGTATAGTCTTCAGCCCACCCACTGTACTCAATAAATGCAATCTGCTATTATTACTATATATTATTTCAGATGCCATACTAACATAAGGACTTTAAAGTGACCATTAAGGGTAAAGATAAAATAATGGATGTCCACATCAGATTGAGCTATTTGGAAGGATTTTTCTCAGAGGAAAAGGGTAAAACTATAGTTTTAAGCTAAAAACTAGTAGTGTCATTTGCAATGTAGACTATCTTATGCAAGAAGATGGAAGTTTAGGACTATATTTTTTTTAATATACTTTTATTGATTTTGAAGAGGAAGAGAAAGGGAGAGAGGGTAGTAACATCAATGAAGAGAGAGAAACATTGATTGGCTGTCTCCTGCACGCCCCCACACTGGGGTCAGCAACCCGGGCATATGCCCTTGACCAGAATCAAACCCAGGACTCTTCAGTGTGCAGGCTGATGCTCTACCTGCTGAGAAAAACCGGCTAGGGCTAGGCCTATCTTTTGCCTAAACTTTGGTGGAAGGCTTGGAAGATGTTTTATGTTCTAGTAAAATAATTGTTAAATTATACTCATGGTTAAATGAGACCCCGAAGAACATTTGTTTTCTTGTTGTTGTGGGGTTTTTTAGTATGTTTGCTTGTATTTGTTTTACATTTTTAAAGGGTGTATAAGGAGAAGGAGAGAAGAAGGAGGAGGAACAATATGTGACAGAGACTTTCACAGGAAAAGTTACAACCTCTTTTCCAGAAGCCTGAGGAGGTTATATCTGACAAGTGAAACAGCATTTTTTTGTGTGTCTCCTTTACTATTTGTTTGTTAGCATACATAAATTGAGACATACAGGAGAGAAGCACTAAGGTTAGAGATATCTCCTTTCCTGTTAAGAATTTACTGAGGGAAAAACACCTCAAGGGATTGGTGGCTACGTTTTTTAAGGTTTGGTCAAAAGGAGTAGGGATTAATAAATGAATCTGGAGGAAGTCATGGGCAAAAGAAAAATGTAGGTGAGCACAAATCTGGGGCTCCCAAAGCAGATCTGATAACCAAACAGAATAACAGAAAATCCAATATCAGGGCTGGGTCAGGAGATGGCAATATCATGATAGAAAACTGAGTTAGAATCAGAACATAAATTCCAATCCCCATTAAGAAATGGGTCAAAATCCAAAGCTGGGAATGGAAAAGCAATAGAACAAGAACTTCAAGGATATTTTAGAAATGAAGTCAGATGCCTTAATCTTTCTTATTGGTGAGTCAGAATTGTTATGGTTTACCTCCCACATAACTGAGAGTATTAATGTATTTTTTCTGTATATGCTTAACTCAATATGAGATATAGCTGAGAAATTCAGACTTAGAATTTCTCAGCAGTCATGCAACCTAAAGACAGCAGCTTCTAGCTTGGATTTGCATACTATTTCTCTAAAGATTCAAACTCACAGTTAAGGTCAACATCTGGCTGGATTTAACATTCACATTTGACAGTTTCACTTTCATTACAAAATGTTTAGAATTTTTTACAAGGCAGAAGCTGTCTTTTATTTTAATAAATGTTTACATATCTTTTCTTTTTTCCTTTAGGGGTGGATTTATATGCTTGAATTATTCTGTGCAGTTGAAATTGGAGGACATCTCACTAGACAAGCCACTGTAGCAAAATAAAATGCAAATGAAAGGGGCAAAGGGCACAGTATAATGAGCAAGAGGATTTACTGTTTCATATTCTATTTCCATATCTTTTGAGAGAGGGAAAAGTGAGAAAATGAGATACTGTTCTATCTGCTTTCCTTGGTAAGTTCTGGTGGATAACTTAGCTATTTGAAAGCCATGGAGAATATGCCTACTAATTTCTCAAACTAATCTAAATTTCCAATTTTATTAATGCATAGGTAATGATTTAGTATTTCTATAGGTTATCTTAGTGTCAAACAATAAATACATGTTCAGCACATTATTCATATTACTAAAACTGTTAACAAGTAAATAAGGATATGATAATGCACATGTTCACACACATCATCATCATTGAAGAAATGTAGGAGTCAAGGTAGTTTTAATAGAAACATTCTGTATATGAAACTATGATAAAATGCATGAAAATAGGTACTGTTTAATGAGCATATTTTGTGCACAAACTACGGGTTTGTTACTTTATGTGCATGATCTCTACTACTCACAAGAGTCTAAAAAGCAGGTACCATTATCGCCATTATCTAACGGTATAGAGATATATAGATCAATTCACTTACACAAACTTTCTTAACAGATTTAAACCTGGTTTGTCTTTCCCTAATCCAATGTTCTGTCTACAATTACACTTTGACATATAGAACAAAGTTAAGGAACAATTTGAAACCCACTGGATGATCAGTCTGGGAAGCTCAGTAAAGTTAAATGCAAATCATTGGCTAAAATAGGACATTTCATGCTTTACGTGCACATAAATAGCCACTAAAGAGTCCGCCTTAATTGCCTTCCTCGTGGGCACCAATTAGAAGTCCTGAAATATTAATAAACTGGCTAATTTAATAAAAATACTATTACATGTTTTCTTCCTGCATATTGCTTTGAAGCACCAAACATATCATGAGCACTCAATAAATATTAAATATTTAACAGCAACTAATAAAATGAAATTATGGTAATATATTTTGCAATGAACTCACCACAAGAAGAAATAAAACCAGTTTTAGTACTAGACCTGGAAGCTGAGCAGACTTAGAAACCTGGATAAGTGAATTAACCCTAAAGGGAGGCACAAGACATTAAATGATTGTGGTCGAAAGGTTTAACAGGGGGTCAGAGTAATCAAAATTTTTATTGCAGTTTGGCAACTGAAACTGTCCCTCCTGATTTACATATTTTTTTCTATTTCTCCAAAATTCAAAATTCACATTAAAATATATATTACTAAGCTGCTGTTATATAGTATCCATGTCCAAATATAAAGTTCCTATATTTCATTATCTATTGGTATTATCTTATTTTGAAAGAACATAAAATATGTTCCCTGAAGTTATCATCTTTTTTCTCCTACTTTTGCATAGTCTGAGATTTTCAAAAGTTAGTTATAATAATAATAATAATAATAATAATAAATGGATCTTGAATCCCTTTATCCTTTGGCATGCAGAAGTCATTGAATTGTCAAACTCTGACAGGAGTGCATGCCGTCTCCAAGAGCATACTTCTGTAGATTTAAATTAGAGCTGCAAGTTACTGGGGAGAAACCAGGCTGGGAGCAAGCACACGGTTTCTTTTCTTAAGCAGTGGAGGAAAATGTTTCATAAAGGGGAGAAAAGCTTGCCAAATGGAGGAATCCATAGGGAAACCTCAATTTAAGCTTTTGTTCCTCAATTCATGGAAGATTCATGAAAAAAGAAGTACTTCTTAGTACTTTTAGAAAACTCTATTATCCTTCCTTTTTTTTTCCTTTACAATCCCTCTGAGGATAAGAGAGAATGCACTTAAAGTTACTATTTGGGTGACTTGATCCTTCTTCTTCTTCTCCTTTATTCTTCTAATGGTCTCTCAAATGCTCCCAAGAAATAACACATTTAACAAGTGTTCACCTGGAGCTCAGCTACCATTTCCTCTCCCAATCCTGTGATTAACCCACTGATGGGTCTACAAACTCTATGTTCCAGTTGAAATATGACAGCAGTTACATCATTCTCCAGCTCAAATATATCTCTGATTCTACCCATTCTAATCACCCTTTTTACATGGAAAAAATATCAACACCATGGTTGGTTTCACTGAACCTATTTATACAACAATAAAACACTTAACAGCCTCAAACGCCCTGATATATTTAAAAATATTTCTTTAATTTTCATACATTCATTGTGATTACAATATGTTTGTTTTCTGTGCTACACTCTCACTCACTCTGACACAGATCGCCCCTCTACAGACACACCTTTAACTTGTAGAAAACAGGCACAGAAGTCATCCCTTGTTGTAATACATCGTAGGTACAATAAGTTAACTTTTACTTTAGGTTAAGACTTTATCCATTTTTTATTAGTTTAGATAATATTCAGAAGTTTGTCACATTTCACTGTGCTAAACAGTTTTTTTTGTACTACTATAGATATTCTGAGGTACTTGCTTCACAGAACAAAGTAGAATAATAAGTTATTATAATATGTGTATTTAACTAAATCCTTAGATGAATGTGAATAAGATTGGTCTGCACTCAAAACTAAAAACCTGTAAAGCCAATAGAGTACAGTGACATAAAATTCTCAACAAGACTCCTCCTGGAGTTTCATTAAAGTAAATCCATTTATCATTCATACATGTATATATCATGAACATCAGTGACACTACAATTAATAACAGCCTTTGAGACACAGTTTGTATTTGAAAATATCTGGAGAAAAATATCATGATTATTAAAAATATTTTTAAAAGATAAAGGATAAAGCGAGTTTCAAAAGTATGCATTTCTCTTCACTATACATTGCAGCTACAAAAGAAAATCCCCAAGAGAATTAATACGAACTTATGATAATGCAGCCTGCAGCACGGTTTTGTTTTGGTTTTGTCTGATTTTGCTGACAAGGCAATTCAAACTCTACCCTACTCATCTTTAGTAGAGGGATCAAATTATTCACCTATAAACATGCAGCAATAAAATGTCATTCTTCAGGCAATACCGGCTACTTAACATTTTCCTCTTTTTCACTGGTTTGGACCCCCAGCTCATTAGATCATTACCTGATAAATAGGAGAGGGTAATGAATTGAGAAAATAACTACGTACCTTCAGAGAAAACCTGCCCGATAACAGTCATCCATTAGGAAACTGGCAATATCCTCTGATCTATTGCCCGCAAAGCTATGACTTGAAGAGTTTCATTCCCTGGGCTCAGTTCACCAGAAGAAAATCAGCACAATTTAAATATTTCTTGGAATGTGACAGCTCTCTAGATCCCCGGTTGCAGTCTGTTCCCCAGGGATGGCAATCTGGTGTTCCTGTGTGCACAGAGCAGTGAAGATGAATTGAAAATGCTTGAGATAAATTAGGAATGGCTAAGTTAAAATTGTCTCTGCTCCAGACTCTCTCATCTGCAGTCTGTAAGCCTGTTTTTCTGTGAAAAAGCTAGATGGCAGGCTGCCTCAGTAAGTTCTTCCTAAGCGACAGAGAGCATTTTCAATGAAGAAAAATTCTCCCATTATCTAAGCTAATGTGACTGCTGCTAAATCTAGTTTTTAAAGTGGCTACTGGCATGAAATTTATTTTCCCTATTGGTCTCTTTCAAACCACAGTCTAGAATCCATACTATCATGATTATATATATATATATATATATATATATATACTTTTATCTGTGAGAAACATTTCAAGTTTTCAGCTAACATTAAATCATAACCCTTCCTGCAGTTTTAACAATCGTTTACATATAGAAAATTTCCACTTTAGGTCTTAAAGCCATTTTATTGCATTTTGCAATATTTAGAAAGTGTTGTTTTTTTATTGCAATACCTCAATGTAACAATATTTTATTGACAATCACTTATTGTAATGAAGTTCCAAATAGAGATGCACCATTTTTAAAGGTCAGTTAGAATGCAGAAGTTATATATAAAAATAAACAAGGGAAATGTGGAATCCTAATATATAACCAAAGAAGTAAATATTGATTCTGAATACCCTCTTAAGAAAATAAGATGTTCCAAATAAAATCAAGCTTCATAAATTATTCCCTTTCCAAATGACAATATGCCATTTTTTGAATTCCGTTTATTTCAATTGAATGATACATTGTGATGTAAGAGTACTTATCCCTAAATTAGAAAATTACTTTAGAATGCACTCTACTTGGTTATTGGCAACACAACCCATAGAAGGGTTATCAAAATGTTCACTTCCATTTCTTTTTTTAAAATTTATCTTTATTGTTGAAAAAATTATAGGTGTCCCCTTTCCCTCTCCCCTGTTAACCTCCTCCACCTCACACCTGCCCCCTCAGCCCTACCACACTTGGATTTTCTACATGAAACAATTTCTACATTATC